TATGCCGGCCGTGAAAGCCTTCGACAATACATAGTAAGGAAAAGCATTTTTCCTTTTTTATGGCCTGCTCCTAAATTCCCGTTGAAAGGAGGAAAAGGCGATTGTGGCAGCAACCACCAAGGAGAACATTAACTGCTGCACTGCCCCCACACTGTTCTGGTTGTATGGGGTCATCCTGTAATGAGCGTGACCCTTACAGCATGAAAATCACTCCTTAGTTTTCTATAAAAGTTTATGATGAGGGTATTTTTAATATTTAGACATTTGGATTTGGCTATGTGATGCCATCCTAATGAATTCAATTTCTCCTGTCCATCCTGTGAATGGACAAGCACTTTCACTCAATTTTACATCTCACAGTTGTCAGTGAAACACATACAGCTTAAAGAAGGGCAAAGGCCTTTGTGGGAGAATGGGAGTCTATTTTTCAAAGTATGCACTCTTTGGCTTTCACTTGTTCATCCTGCCACTCAAAGTGGTTAATTACAGGAATAAACAGAACCCAAAGTACAGGTAGTTCCCAGTTTAAGAATGAGTTCTGTTCCCAAGGTCTGAACTTAAGTCAGATTTGTATATTAGCCAGAACAGTATTATTGTATAATACTGTATAAGTGGTATTGTGTAATTAACTTGAACCATTGTGTATTTAACTGAAATCATTGTGTAATTAACTTAAATTTTGCTACAATAGGCTCCATTCTTAACTATGGGTCATCCATAAACTGGGTGTTATTAATCCGGGAACTACCTGTATTCCTTTCTGCAAAAGATTCTTAATATTTAGAGTACATTTGCAGATTTTGTATGATGACAGTCATCAACATATGTTTGCCCATCAGAATTTCAGAAATCATAAACATCCCATCCAGAAACAATGCCAACCTGCCACACTTCAAATGTTTTGCTTATTTATTATTTTACTGATTTTTTTTAATCTGGAAAATAAAATGAAGCAGTGCACCATGGACATTAAAAAAAAAAAACCACAGGGAAAGTATCAAAGTCAGAATAATCAGCAACCTTCTGTTTATAAGACAAGTGTTGTAGCCATTGTGCTACTATAGCACTCCTAGAAAAAAAAAGTCCCAAAAGGTACTAGAGACCATGTAAGCATTGACTCAACTGAAGGGGCTTTCTTGCCTCTGTGAAAATAGCTAATGAATTTCTGGGGTTAGCCCAGACAAACTGGATCAAGCTATCCCAGACATAGAGAAGTGCTCTAGGCAACACAACATGGAAAAGTGTGCTTTAGAAGTAGAGCTGAAAAATGTACCACAAGTTCTACTTTGTGGTTGAGTATGGAATTAGCAGAGTTTGACACTGTCTGTTTCTGTCCTCCAGAAATGGTGGCTGGCCCACTGTGGTGACATGACAAGCAGGCAACACAGATAAGCACCGTGTTTCAAATTCATTTAAAAGAAATATGAACATCAGAGTGCCCAATGCACCCCAAGTTAATGAGTAAATGAAAGGACTTACATTTTCTTTCCTAAGCTTCTCCCTTAGAGGTCATCACAAAATTCAGGTGATAGTAAAAATATATGTTTTGTATTTGAAGTATACAAAATTATTGCAGCATGCAGCAGTTTTACCCATGCAAGATCAGCTTCCAATCTGTTATATGGAGTAGCAGATTCTGTGAAACTCTTGGTAACAAAACTATCTATCTAAGCATTGTGGGGTACAAGATGATAAATCTTTCTGTTGTAACGAATCTGCAGGGAGTAAATATGCGTTTATTTTAATTAGGTTATTCAAGGTGTGGTTTATGTGGTTTTCTTCACCACCCTTGAAGCAAGCACTATAAAAAAATCAATGTACTAGCAAATTACTATGATGCACTACTGTAGTCATTATCATTACCTGTGCATTACGCTAACATTTATAGCTTTAGTGCTCAGTGAACTGCACAGCTGCTTGCCTGTGAGTTGCCTAAAGCCACAGTTAACACATTCACAGAAGCCTCTTAAAAGCAGATTCTAACTATCGGGCCAATGGCAGCTTGAGCTAAGGAAATGATGTCTGTGCAATGTTTTCTAATGAACAACTGTTCACTGTGAAGGGCATTGTTTTGATACACAATTTTACACTCTCTCATAATGTGTGGGCATGCATGTGATAGTACACTTTATCTTATTTACAAAGGATTAACTTGCTTTGTAAAGAGCACAGCATTT